TCCCTGCTCACCCTTCCCTCCATTCCTGGCTATGTCCTCTCCCTTATCGCTATATATCTGTCTTCTAGAATGTGTGCTCTGTTAAAATGAACAACTTTTCAATCTTGTTCATCTCTGTGTCCCCAGAATCCAGAACAGGGTCTAGCACATAAGAGATGGTCAATAAATCTGTGTCCAATAAATACTTGAAAGAATTTTAACAATAAGAAGCCCTCTGTGACAGAAAGATAGAATGATGGGTAGAATATAGAACTTAAGGTCAAGGAACTTAGGAAGGAGACTAAGCTGAATGAGAAACCAGGGGAGGGTTTTAAACATAGGAAGTAGGCTTGGGTTGTAGCTTAGTGGAAGAGGGTTTTGCTAGCATGCCTGAGGCCCTGGACTCAATCTTGAGCACTGCAAAGGAAAAGAATTAGTGAGTCACAGAAACATAGGAAGTATCATGAACTAGGTTTGGTTTTCATATGCTTTTTTTTTTTTTTTTGTAGTTGTAGATGGTCAGCATGCCTTTATTTTATTTGTTTACTTTTGTATGCCATGCTAAGGATCGAACCCAATACCTCACATGCAGGGCAAGTGCTCTGCCACTGAGCCACAGCCACAGCCCTGATATTTTTTTAACCATTTTTTTAATTATGGAAAAGTTAGGTGTGGTGGCACACACCTGTAATCCCAGCCTCTAGGGAAACTGAGGCAGGAGGATTGCAAGTTCAAGGCTAGTAAGGGCAATTTTGCAAGATCCTGTCTCAAAATATCTTTTTTTGATGTATTGGGGGATTGGACCCAGAGCTTTGACCATGGTAGGTAATCACTGTACCACTGAGCTATATCCCCAGCCCTTCTGTTTTTGTTTTGAGACAGGGTCTTGTTAGTTGCCAAGGTTGGCCTCAAACTTGCAGTCTTCCTGCTCAGTCTCCCTAGTAGCTGGAATTACAGCTGTCCACCACTGTGCCCAGCTTAAAAAAAATATTTTAAAAGGGGCTGAGGTTGCCAGGTGAAGTGGCACACGCCTGTAATTCCAGTGGCTTGGGTGGCTGAGGCAGGAGGATTGTGAGTTCAAAGCCAGCCTCAGCAACAGCAAGGCACTAAGCAACTCAGTGAGACCCTGTCTCTAAATGAAATACAAAATAGGGCTGGGGATGTGGCCCAGTGGTCAAGTGCCCCTGAGTTCAATCCCCAGTAGCCTCCCGCCAAGAAAAAGGGCTAAGGTGCAACTCAGGGGCATAGCACTTGCTTAGCATGTGCTCACTGTTGCTGAGGCTGTCCTTGAGATTGTGATCCTCCTGTCTCAGCCTCACAAGCTGCTGAGATTACAAGCATGTACCATTTTGATTGCTTAGTCATTTCTTAATGTTATCAAATACCCCATCAGAGTTCAGTTTTTCCTATAGCCCCATTAACATTTTCCCCCACTCTTTCCAAGTGCAATGTTTAATTTTATTTAAAAGTTGAGAGAAAACAATTATTTGCTGCGTCAATAATAGAATTGGCCAGCATCAGGCTGGGCCTGTCATACATAAGGCCCTGGTTTTGATCCTCAGCACTGGAAAAAAGAAAAATTGGCCAGTGACAACTATCACACACTTATTTTTTATTTCTTGGTACTGGGGATTGAACTCAGGGGCACTCAACCACTGAGCTACATCCACAGCCTTATTTTGTATTGTATTTTCAGACAGGGTCTCATGGAGTGGCTTAGCACCTCACTTTTGCTGAGGCTGGCTTTGAACTTGAAATCTTTTTGCCTCAGCCTCCCAAGTCGCCACTCTCTGGGATTACAGGCATGTGCCACTCAGCCCGACTGCAATCACTCACTGTGACCAATGTTGTTTAAATGACCACAACCACTCCTCCTAGATGATTCTAAAGCTCAGTGCCAGACACCATATCCCATAAACATCTTTTTATCACACTTAGTTTGTTTGAATCAGAATTAAACAAGGCCCACACATTGCATTATTTGCTGTGACTCTTTTTCATTGACATTTTAAATGCTCGCTCTGATTGCTACATGGAAAATTAAATGTAAAGAGGTAAGTGGAAGCCAGAAAACCAGGGAGGCCACTGTTACCTAGTCATCACAGTATTAACTACTAGCATTTATTGAGCACTTATTAACTTATTATATACTGGAAATTGTCTTTATGTACATTAATTTATTTAATATCCACAGCAATTTATTAAGAGGAGGTGCTACTATTGTTCTCGTCAGAAGAGGGAAATAAGGCATGGAGTGCAAGGTCACATGCCCAAGGTCACACAGCCAGGTCCCAGCAGGAAGTAACAACCAGAATTTCAATCCCTACAGCCTGGCCCTGGAGTCCAAACAATTCACCCTGATGCTTTGCTGCCTCTTGATGGGGTTAGAGGGCATGAGGATGGAAAGGAGGCCTGACTGGAGAGGTTTACTTAACAGGGCCTGGAGATGAACTGGGTGGAGGTGGCCAGGAGAGGAAGGAGTGAAGGACAAAGATGAAGTAATGCTGGCCAGCTTCCACCGAGGTCCTGTTCTGTTCAGGTGTCTTCCAGACTCTACACGTGGGAACTAACTGGACCTTCATAAAGAAGGGAGGAAATATTTTCAACTTCACTTTACAGATGAGAAAGCTGAAATGCAGAGAAAGAACAATTTTCAGCCCAGGATCTCAGATCTGAGAAGGTTGAAGCCAAGGTTTCTAACTTTTAGGACATCTCACAGCTGAGCCTACAGAAACCCCAAAGGTTCTTCAAGGGTCAGGTAATCAACCTAGAAATTCTGTCAAAACATTAGGAATGAGCCCCAGGAGGAGCAGGTCTTATTTGGGGAGCTCTCCCAGTGAAGAGTGCCTGAAGGTTCTTTTTTCCCCTGGCTCCTCCCTGCCCTGAGCTCCTCCAATTGCTGCACTTCCTTATGCCCCCACCTCTGTGTCTCACCATCCTGACTGGGGACTCACCTCTGAGTCCCAGTTTTGCCCAGGTGGCAAGCCTAGAATTCATGCCTGGAATAAATGAGCCAAGTTCCCTTGGCTCGGAGCGTTTCTCTCCACCCATTTCTCCTGGTGACTTCCTCCCACAATCTTCTAGAATCTGCAACTGTACCTTTGTGACTCTATTTCTTTGTAGGACATCCATTTCAACCCTCCCTGTGTCTCTGAATGGCTCTTCAGGTCTCCTTCTTTGGTGTCTGAGCCTCTCCCTTGCCCTTGAGGGGCTCTATGAGTCTTACCTCTGATGAAGGCCACCAGAGATACTCGGGGAGTTTGGCAAAATTGGGTTTTATTGACTTGCTGTAGCTTAGGAGGGAGGACCATAAAGGAAGTCCTGGCCAGCTCCCCAAACACACAGAGAGAGGGCTAGCACTAGCAGAGGGTCTGGGAAAAGGTGACATTTGTTTAAAATTTAAGTGAGGCAGAGTTTAGGCTTAAGGCAAAGCAGATCATGTGGAAAGGGGTTAAAGTGGGTCCTGCTCTGAGGATTCCTTCCAGAGCCTGTTCCTTGGAAACTTCAGAGTTAAGACCAAGGTGGATTTCAGTGCCTTGTCACATCCCGTAATCCCAGCAGTTTGGCAGGAGGATAGTAAGTTTGAGGCTGGCCTGGGCAACTTAGCAAGATCCAGTCTCAAAATAAAAATTAAAAGTGCTTGGGTTGGGGTTGGGCTCAGTGGTAGAGCGCTTGCCTGGCATGTGTAAGGCACCGGGTTCGATTCTCAGCACCACATATAAATAAATAAAATAAAGGCCCATTGACGACTAAAAAATATTAAAATAAAAAAGTGCTGGCATAGTAGTTCAGGGGTAAAGTGCCCCTGGGTTCAATCTCAGTATTAAAAAGGAGTGGGGGAGTACTGGGGTTGTGGCTTAGTGGCAGAGCACTTGCCTAGAATGTGTGAGGCACTGGGTTCTATTTTCAGCACCACATAAAAAATAAATAAAATAAAGGCATTGTGCCTATCTATAACTAATAAAAATATTTTTTAAAATGGGGGGCATAAAAGTGGACTGTTGCTGCCTGAAACTCACCTCAAAAGCTCTCTGCACTTGGGCTAGCAGTCAGACTGCTTCTTTGGCAGTTTTTTGGATCCTCCAGAAGACAAGAATGGAGTGGTTGAGTTTTTTGTTTTTTGTTTTTTTTAACTTCTTTATTTATTTACTTTTTGTTCTGAGGATGGAACCCTGGGGCCTTGTGTGTTCTAGGCAAGTGCCCTACCACTGAGTTATGTAGCTCTAGCCTAGGAGGGTCTTATTCACACTATTGATATGATTCCGAAGAACAAAACTTCTGACAGTCCATGGCTTTAGACAGGGCAGTTTCTTGCCTCTGGGTCTTTGATGTGAATGAACAAAAGCTGTTTTACAGTTTCACACCCCATCAGAAGACAAATAAGACAAAAAGATCTTCAGCCTGAGTTTGCAAAATATAATGCAAAATTATATCTTGCAAACTTTTATATGTATTACATGTAATTTATGCATATTTATTTATTATATGTAAGCATACATACATGTACAAATATGTATATATGCATGTGCAAACACATACATAAAATATTTCTTCTTGGGAAGAAAGAAAACATTTCTGATAAACTGCTTCAAGAAATTTTGGATGAAACTTAAGAGGGTTAGTATTGTTCTGGTAACTAGGCACCCACCCAACAGTCCCCCAAAACACTAGTGACCTTGAACCGAGCATCTTTTTTTTCTCATAATGACTCTTCCACCACGGGCTTTTCCTCTAAAATGGCCTGTGGCTGTGAGTGACTGGGGGTCTCTTGAGTTTCTACCTCTCTGCCTGTCTCTCTCTCTATGCCAGTATTCTGAGCGTCTCGCGAGTGTCTCTGTTCTGTTGTTCCAGATATGAGTGCCCCGGGGCGGCTCGTTGTCTTCCTGGGTCTCTGACACATCCCTGCTGTCCCCCAGGTCTGCAGCTGCAAGCCCCGCCCTCCCTCCGCGCTGGCCACCTCGGCCCCTTTAAGGCAGGCCCCGCCTCACCCCGCCACACCCCGCCCCGCCCCGCCCCCCGCCCGCCCAGCTCTCAGGGTCAGCCCTGGAGCGTCAGGCTGTGGCGGGTGCTTTGCCTGGGCTCAGCGTGGACCCTGGCCTGGGGCGCGATGGCAGCGGCGGCCCTAAGGGTTGCTGGGCGGCAGCTGAGCCAGCACAGCGGGTCTGGAGCCCCCGTCCTCCTGCGGCAGGTGCGAGGTGGCTGGACCAGGAAGCGGGTTACTGGGCCGTAGGCAGCGGGAGGGGAGAGACTCGTGGATGTTTTTAGGAGGAAGAGATCTGGGGGTGGGGGGTCCCATGCCTGTACGTTGCACACAACAGGTGGAGCTGGGGGCTGGAATGCAGTGTCCAGGGGAGCGATATGGGGGACCGTGGGCTTGGGGCCGAACTCCTGGGTCCGTTACAAGATAGAGTGCTGGGAACCCTGGTTTGGGGTGTTGGTTGGAATTCCTGGCGCTCTCCCCCTCCGGATGGCCCGCGGTTTCCCTTGAATGCGTATCCCTTGCTTTAACCTAAAGCCTTCTCTCTCTTAAGGTTGTTCCCATCCTCCTCCGACTGTGTATCTTTTTTTTTTTATGAACCTCTGTCTACTTTTGAAAGGAAAAAAAGAAAAAGAAAGAAAGAAACTTGGAATGACTTAGTTCTGGTAGAGGAAGGTGGGGATCCGGATACCCGGATTCCCGACTCCAGGAGAAAGAGGGACTGGGGTTTCTGCTTCAGAATCTCAGGAAGAGGATGTGTGGTCTGGACTCCTGGCTCTGGGGGATGGGAGTCGCAGATGGGCATTCTCACCTGTGTCCCCCAACCTCACCCCCAGATGTTTGAGCCGAAAAGCTGCACCTATACGTACCTACTGGGTGACAGAGAGTCCCGGGAGGCCATTCTGATCGACCCGGTCCTGGAGACAGCACCCCGGGATGCCCAGTTGGTCAAGGAGCTGGGGCTGCGGCTGCTGTACGCTGGTTAGTCTGGAGACCCAACTCGTGGGTGGAGGGAGGAGGTGCTGGGGCCTGGACCCCTGGGTCTCAGGGAGGAGGGTTGGGGGCTTGGCCCTAATCTTGTCCTCCTGTCTCCCAGTGAATACCCACTGCCACGCAGACCACATTACAGGCTCCGGGGTGCTCCGGTCTCTACTTCCTGGCTGCCAGTCTGTCATCTCCCGCCTTAGTGGGGCCCATGCTGACCTTCACATTGAGGATGGCGATTCTATCCGCTTTGGACGCTTTGTAAGTTGGATTCTGGGTCCCCGAGAAGAGGGTGATAGTCTGGTCTCCTTGAACTTAAGGGAAGAGGGTACTGGAGCCCTGAGCTGCTGAGTCCTCAGGAGGAGGGACCTTAGGACCTGGTTTCCTGACCCCTGAACTCACATCTCTGGGAGGAGGCCACTATAAACAGGTAGGGCATTGGGGAAGGAGGTTCAAGGTGGGTGTGTCTCCGGCCAAGTCCCTTAAGTCAACAACATTTATGGAGTTTCCTAAGGCTTTGGGGCAGTTCTGTTGGCCCTGTGTCTCCATAAAATTGATTGGTAGTTGAAATTCTGAGGCCAGGGCCAGGAGACCCAGCCCAGTCTTCTGAGCCACTGTTGGAGGAAGGAGCATCCCCTTGCACAGCGCCAGGGCTAGGGTGAGGCTCTAGGGAGTAATATTTAAGGTGGTGCTCACTTGCAGGGTGCTATAAATGCAGGGCTGGCCCCTAAGAGTGGGTGCCTCCTTTAAATGTGGCACTGTGGTAGCCTCACCCTAGCCCCAGCTGTTGCCTCACCCAGGAATGGTCAGAAGGTCCCCACCTCCTTCTCTTTCTTGCCACAGGTAGAATCAGCAGGTTTCCGGCCAGAATTGCAATCCAGGGCAATATGGAGGAGTGGAGGGGGTTGCTCAGAGGAGAGGAAACAGCTGACAGGGCTTTTTTTTTTTTTTTTCCCTAATCAGAGTTGCTAAAGATGTAGAGAGTTTGGTTGACAAAATGCCAGGTTACAGGGTAAGGTCTCAGCCTCCAGGTCAGAAGGTTTTGCTAAATAATGGGAACAGTTTATTTATCAAGAGTGTTTAGTAGAAATGAGGACTGTGCATGGGATCAGAGGGTTTAACTGCAGAGGTCACAGACTCTTGTTTATTTAGGGGTGGGGGGTCAGTATTGGGAACCCAGGGCCCACTTAACCACTGAGCAACATCCCCAGCCCTTTTTTTTTGAGAGACAGGGTCTTGCTAAGTTGCTTAGGGCCTTGCTAAGTTGCTGAGGCTGCCTCTGAACTCACAGTCCTCCTGAGCCACTGGGATTACAGGTGTGTACTATTGCACCTGGCCACACACTCTTTATTTCAAGCCTGTTTTGGGAAGTAGGTAAAAAAAGACTTTGTACACTTATGTGGGTGGCACGTAATACTCAGGTGCTAATAAGCATTTCTTGGATTTGAGCAGAGCCTCTGAAGGATTAGGAATGATTAGGGTTTGTGTCAAGGTGAGTCCTGCTTTCAGTGAGCAAGTGTGGAAGGGTTTAGCTGTGGTACATTTAATTTCAGTGTTTATTTTATCTTTAGCGGCCTTATTGATATAATCCACAGACCCTACAGTGCATCCTTTTAAAGTACACAGTTCAGTGACTTGTAATGTATTCAGAGTTGTATATCCATCCCTGCAATTTTAAATTATTTTCATTTCTCTAAAAAAGAAACCCCATACCCTGAGCCATCACCCCTAGCTTCCCTCTTCCCTTCCTCAGCCTTAGGCAACTTTAAAAAAATTTTTTTGGTATCAGTGATTGAACCTAGGGGTGCTTTCCCACTGAGCCACATCCCCCCTGCCCTTTTAAAAAATGTTTTTCGAGACAGGGTCTTCTTAAGTTGCTTAGAGCCTTGCTAAGTTGCTGAGGCCAGCTTTGAATTTGCAATCCTCCTGCCTCAGCCTCCTGAGTTGCTGGGATTACAGGCGTGTACCACTGTGCCTGGCTTACTTTTTTTTTTTTTTAATGGTACTGGAGATTGAATCCAGAGGTGCTTTACCACTGAGCCACACTCCCAGCCCTTTTTTAAAAAAAATTTTAGTTGTAGATGGACACAATATCGTTGTTTTTATTTATTTTTCTGTGGTGCTGGGGATCGAATCCAGGGCCTCATGTGTGTGAGGCAAGCACTCTACCACTGAGCTACAACCCCAGCCCTCTCCAACCGTTTTTAATTTTAATATTTGAGACAGGGTCTTATTAAGTTGCTGAGGCTGGCCTTCAATTTGAGATCCTTCTGTCTCAGCCTCCCAAGTTGCTGGGGTTACAGGTTTGCGCCACCTCAATTTGTAATATACTTTCTGTCTCTATGAGTTTTCCCATTCTGCATATTTCATAGAAATGGAGGCATACAATGTGATCATTTTTACTGACTTCTTTCCCTCAACAGCACAGTCTTTTCAGGATTCACCCTTGTCATAGCATGTTTCAGTACTTCATTCTCTATATCGTTGAACAACATCCCATTACATGGATGGTTACGCCTCAACTTATTTATGCATTAATCATTTGGTAGACATTTGAGCTCTTTCCACTTTCTGGCTATTATGAATAATGCTGCTGGGAACATTCATGTGTACATGTGTATTGACATGTGTTTTTTAAAAATATTTTTTAGATGTTAATGAACCATTATTTTATTTATTTATTGATATGTGGTTGAGAATCGAACCCAGTGCCTCACACATGCTAGGCAAGTGCTCTACCACTGAGCCACAACCCCAACCTGACACGTGTTTTTATTTCTCTGGAGTTTATGCCTAGGAGTGGAATTGCTGAGTCACATAATAATTTTACGTTTAATAGTTTGAGGAACTTCCGTACTTTTCTAGAGTGGCCACACTACTTTACAGACCCACCAGCAGGATATGAAAGTTCCAACTCCTTCACAGCCTTACCAGCACTTGTTATTATCTGTGTTTATGGTTGTTTAGCGTTGGTTTGGCTTTGATCTGAGATCTTTATCAATCTTTGGAGATGGGTCTATTTATTTATTTATTTATTTTTATTATTTCTTACATACATCACAATAGAGGAGTGCATTACATTCATAATTTTTTGCATTACAATTCTTAATATCACAATTTATCCCATCTCTGTTTGTATATAAGGTATGTGACACCAAATTCACAAGAGATGGGTTTATTTTTTTATACCTCTTATTTTTCCTGCTCCTACTTTAAAAATCAAGTCTATAACAAACCTATGATAAGGTGAGAAGTGCACAGACTACACACGTGCAGCTGGGTGCATGCGTACATATGTTTACACTTGTGTACCCACCATCCATGTGGAGATTCAGAACATGCCCGTCACCCCAGAGGCTTCCTTGTCCCTCTTCCTGGTCATGACGCATCTATCAAGGAATCATTCTTGGGACTTATGGATACACAGTTAGTTCCACCTGTTCTGGACTTTCTAAAGAAGAATTACAAGTCGGCACACAGGTGGTGCACACCTGTAATACCAGATGCTTCGAGGCCAAGGCAGGAGGATCACAAGTTCAAGTTCAGCCTGGGCAACTTAGACCCTATCTCAAAATAAAAAGAAAAAGGGCTGAGGATGTGGCTCCATGGTAAAGTGCCTTTGGGTTCAATCCCCAGTACTGCAAAAAAAAAAAAAAAAAAGGGAAGAAGAATTAATTATTAATTACACACGTGTGTGCATTCCTATGTCTGGCTCTTTACACTCTACATGGTGCTTCTGCTATTGCAATTCTTTTCTTCTCTTGCTTCATAGCAAGGGTTGGCAAACTTTTCTGTAAGGGACCAGATCATAACTATTTTCAATTTTACAGGCCTCAGGGTCTCTGTTGCCACCACTTGGCTCTCATTTTACAGTGTGCATAAATTAATAAGCATGGCGGTGTTCCAGTATAACTTTATTTATGGCCTCTTGAATTTAAATTTCAGATAACTTTCATGTGTCAAAAAATAATTATTGGGCTGGGGCTGGGGCTTAGCGGTAGCACACTTGCCTGGCCTGGCATGTGTGAGGCACTGGGTTGGATTCTCAGCACCACATATAAATAAATAAAAATCTATCAACAACTAAAAATATTTTTTAAAATAATAATAATAATTATATTTTTCACGTAAAAATGTAAAAACCATTCTCCACTTTCAGGCTTTACAAAAACAGGTGGCAGGCTTAGTTTGGTCCACCCCACCATAGTTTGCTGACTCCTGAGGTAAAGTATATCATTGTATGACTACACCACAGTTTGTTTACACATTCTTTTTTTAATGATCCATCTCAGTTTTTGGCTACTATGAAAAATGCTGCTATGAAATTTTCGTGTTTTTTTTTTTTTCTTTTTTCTTTTTGGCAGTACTAGGGATTGAACACAAGGATGCTTTATCACTTAGTTATATCCCCAGCCCTTTTTTTATTATGGGGCAGGGTCTAAGCTTATTGCAGAGGTTGGCCTTGAATTGTGATTCTCCTGAATTGCTGGGACTACAGGTATGTGCCAGTGTAACTGTTATGAATATTTTTATACAAATCTCTTATTGGATATTGCCCTAAATTTCAAGAAGTTGAATTTTCTGTGTCATAGAGATAAAATATGTTTGACTTTAGTAGAAATTGCCAAATAGTTAGATTTTTGTTTTGTTTCGTATTTGACAGGGGCTTGCTATCTTTGCCTTGCCTGGTCTCAAATTCCTGAACCGAAGAGATCCTTCTTGTTTCAGCCTTTCCAGTAACTGAGACTGTAGGCACTGTGTGTATGTGTGTGTGTGTGTGTGTGTTGCTGCACATTGAACTTAGGGCTTCAGGTATACTAGGCAAGTGCTCGACCACTGAGCTATATCAACAGCTCATACATATTTTTTAAGTGGCAATTCTTTTATGATTTTGACCCATATTCTGTTCCCCTGTGTAAACAAACAAAGTGCAAAATACAGCAAAAACCATATCACAGCCTTATGCTAAGCAGTTTTTTGAACTAGTACAGTTTATACCGAAGATGGACCAAATTTGAATGGTTTCATTGTGGAATGATTTTTTTTTTTAATAAGCAGTGACAGTTGAACATTGTAGCTCCCACAGCAGGTGGCAAATTAGGTGCCTGGTTAGTACTTGGATGGGAGAAAGTTAACCTTGTTGATTTATAGAGGAGTGCTGCTCAAAATATGATTCTTCAGGCCCTGATTTAGAGATTCTTTAATTGCCTGGGGATGGCACGGGGAATCAGTACGTTTTTAAAAGCTCCTTCAGTGATTCT